TTCATAGTTTACAACTTAAACTCCCTGTTAGCAAATAAGCTTTGTTATCCTAACAACGTAGTGTTTAGGCTTAACAACGACTCCTTTGAATACTTAGCGAATGGCTATTACTAAATCTTCTCGAGTCCATGATGGTTAATGAATGATCATTATTATGACCTCTTGGATTCCTGATAGATGACGAGCAGCCTCTTGAATCTCGAATAGATGGTGAACAGTTCCTTTGAATACTTGGCGAATAGCTATTACCAAATCTTCTCGAGTTTATGATGGTTGATGAATGGTCATTATCATGATCTTTTAGATTCCTGATGGATGATGAGTGACCTCTTGAATCTCGAATAGATAGTGAACTGTTCCTTTGAATACTTGGTGAACGACCTCTTCTAATACTTAGTGTACGACCCTTTCTAATCCTTAAAGATTATTAGGTTCTCAATGTAGATTTTACAAATATATACTTTTTACCTTAGTGAATGACTTGATAAGTAACGAGTGCATCTTGAACCTTTCCTTTCCGGTAAAGAATAACAAGGGTATTTTTTCTTGGTAAAGAACTTGATGAATAATGAGAGTATTTAGAGTTATTCATTCTTGATAAATAGCAACTTTGTAGACTTGTATCATATAATCCTAAACATCATTGGCTTATTATATTAATTTTGAATAATTTTCTGTTATGCATTTTTGACCAAAAGAATATAAACGAATATAAATTGGAGATTTTTATTTTTTGTTTTTATTTTTTTTTTCCTATTAATAAATAATACCTCTTTTTTTTCCTTTCTTAGCTAAACGAAATTAATCTAACGAAATAGAAAATCAATTTATCAAAGTTAGAAAAATCAAAAAATCAATCAATTTATATATTCATAAATTAAACTATATTTAGACTACAATTTGATTGCCTTATTTAGACGTCTATTAAAGTTTCGTATTGATTACAAATCGATGTCAATTAAACTTTATACTAAATATACTATTATATATATATATATATTCGATTTTTGTATAATAGTAAATATAATTTATTATCATCATATAAAAATAAAATTAAAAAAAGAAATTATTAACTACAATGCCAAAAACATATCGAAAACGAAAAAATCTTTTATAAAAAAATCCAATAATCTATCAGTTGATACCAATAAAAGTAAATCAAAGAAAGTATATTGTTATTGTGATAAATGCAAAGGTTGCTTAGTTGATCCACATTGTTAACGGAAGAAATTACAACTCCAAATATCACGTAGGATATGTCGATCAGTAATGATCTTACGATAGATGATATTACTGCTACGCCAAACAGTGATTAACAATAATTTTATTTCACCTATTACGTCTGTTTCTCCTGTATTTACTGTATAGTCTGTTTATTCTGTTTCGCCTGTAATTTCTTTAACATCTGTAGTTTGTTTTATTTCTTTTTATATTTTATATCGTTTTCATTATTTTATTATATTTGAGTATATTTTATTAGGACGTATATCTATATTTAGTTAATTTATAGCATAGCAAGTAGTTAGCCGTAGCAAATTAACTCCTCTGCAAGTTTATTAACTCTTTTGCTAGTTTCTTAACTCATTTGTAAGTTTCATACAAGTTCCAAATTATAAATAAAGGAATCAATTTAAATCCACACAAACTATTTTTCCCTTTAACGTTGTCCTTCATCTAGGATTGTTGTGATACACTACACTAACAGGCTATTGAATTCATCATTACGAGTTTGACTAACATATCTTAAGTTCTAAGATGTGATAAATTGCCGAGTTGATTCAAGTATAATGGATACCTGTAGGACTAAGAGAAAATCCTAAGGTCAGAAACTCCAACGTGTAGAATCAGCTGCCGCAGCCTTTCAACTTAGACGTTAAGATAAACGAAAATAAACCTGGTGACAATTTGGTGATTCCTGTCAGGCAATAAAAACTATTAAGAAAAGTTAAGAATTGTGAATTTAAATGAGTTTAAACAAGAGAACTAACTATACGACCTCAGTCACAGACCAGAGATTGATCCAAAGAAACTTCTTGGAAGAGATTTATTCTGTTTAACCTGTTATCCTTTGTATACTCCAGAACCTGAAAACTTTGAAAATCTGTGAAATTAGTATCAGCTCCAATTCAAAGCATATAGATATATCAGCATTACCCTTGACCTTTTTATTATTATCAGTCAAACTGTTCCTGAATTTAATTCACACCCAAGCAATTGAGATCTTTTCAGAACCCTTGTTGCTCAAATCAGTGTTCTAACTCAGAGCTATAGATATAATTCTACTGCAACTGAATTACCTCCGATTACCCAATTAATCTCAGTATTTATAAATACCAATTGCTTTACAAATAATCTTTCTCCATTTGTTGTGTAGACACAGTCTTCAATTACCTACAACGATTACTCATTACAAGAAGAATTAAACGTGGCTCCTCCAAAAAAAGATAGTACTAGTCAGAAATTGGGCAATTCCCAATCTCAACAGACACACCAACTTAGAGACAGAAGATTTTACACCTTTTCTGTACAATCTACTAGAAAAAGAAGTACTTTATGTACCTCATTAAGTACAAAAAGGTTACTTGGAAAAACTATTAAACACAGATAAGAAACCTGAAACTAGCCAACTTCAACCTCAGTCTACTACTATTGAAATCCCTCTCTAAGAAACTGAAGCTTTAGATGAACTTGATTCTGATATTGAATAAGACGACGGTTAAGTATATCTTAATAGCCTATATAACTTTAGTAAAGCGGAAGCAGATAAGGCTGTAGAAGAAGATAATTCTGAATACCCTTCAATTGATAGCATAAACTTTGAAAGCAGTGGTAATGAAACAGTAGAAACTATAACTGAAGTAAGCTACCTTTGGTCAAAGATAAAGGTCCAGAAATTGACAGTTTGATCACGAGTTTCTAGAATACTTCACCTTCTTCAGAATATAGAGAATACCAATCAAATCTAAATACTTCAAATATTTTTAATCAAACGACTACTGGAAAGTTGGGAGCTACTACTACATCTATTCCTATTAGAAGCCTTACTAATCCTTCTAAAATAACTAAGTCAAAGCAGATCACATTTAAAGCAACTGAAAACGTCTCTAATCCTTTTAAATCTAATAATTCCTCAAGTATGAATCCTTCGTCAAGTACAAATACTGGAAACTTTAATCTCCCTCCTGGATTTTGAACTGGAAGTAATACAGCATAAAATAATAATCAATCATCTCAATAGGGATCTAATACGTCTAGTACCTTTAATACAACTAGTGCAGGGAGCACAGGATTTGGAACCTTTTCAACTCAACCTGCCACTACCCAACCTGCATTTAATACAAACACATCTAATACTAATGCTAATTATAATAACCTTCAGATGGCGCAATTACTTCAACAAATGATCTTGATACTACAAGCAATGAATACTAACTCAACGAGGAATGTAGCTCAAGTAAACTGAGCAGAATTGAATTTAGTTAAACCTACTTATTTTCATGAAACTGATAATGAAGATTCTTATGAATGGCTTACTTCCTTTGAACGAGCAGCCACAGCTAATCAATGGACTAACAATAGGAAAATAGCTATTGCTGCAGGATACTTAAGGGACATTGCTGCTAAATGGTATGATGAAAATCAACCTACCTTTCAGAATTGGGCTTTACAAGGAAGTCAATATAACTTCACCAACCATTTCTTGAATTATTTTGCCAATGTTACCATGAAAAATAAATGGATGACTGATTTGGAATTAATTCGTTAACAGCTAGGACAAAGCATATCTGACTATGCTCAAAAATACAAAATGTTAATTCAACGAGTTGACCCTGTAGGAGGTTTTGGACAACAATATATCGTTAGCAAATTTATCAAAGGATTAGTCCCACACATTATGACAATGGTCGTAGGCTATAGCCCGAATAATTTGGATACAGCTATTACTAAAGCTAAAGAAATTGAAACAGGATTTGTCATCGCACAACCTATTTAACAGCAACAGGTTATGGAAAATCAAATGGAGTTATTATAACAACAAGTTTCTCAATTAACTGCAAATTTGGCTAATACTCAAGTCCAACAAACAAATCGACAAAACAATTGGAATAATCAAAATTGAAATCAAAGGAACTATCATAATTACGAGCAGAAGAAGTTTGAATATTGGAATTATGGGAAAGAAGAACATATAGCAAGAGATTGTCAATCAGAAACAACCGCTAAAGCTCAACCCCAAACTCAAAATAACAATCGACCTAATTTTACATCTAATAATAATAATCAAAATAACAATGGTCAACAACAAAGGAATGTTAATTTGACCGAAACTGAAGAAGCTAAAACTGAACAGGAAACTTATATAACTACTAGATCAGTTTTACCATCAACCTCTCAAATTATATTACCATGATCTGAATCTACTCGAGAACAACAAAATAAGCTTCCACCTCAATTGCTAAAACCTGTCGTTCAATTTACGTCAGCAAAACCTTATTATGAAAAACCTTATAGAATAATCAAAGATCTTAACCGACATGATGCCAATGTTACTTTTGGACAATTACTAAAAAATCCTTTGTACCTTCAAGAAGTAAAAGATGAAATAAATAAAATCGAAAAAGAGATGAAAATTGGGATAAATATAGCACAAACCCATGTAACCAATAACAATAAATATACCGCTGCCAGATGCATTATGAGGTTCAAATTAAATCTGATTGAAACTATTCTGGATTCAGGAGCCGCTGCATATATTATCTCAACTATCTTAGCATCTAAGCTTAATATCAAACCAGATAAATCTTCTGACATTTTAGTTATAACTGCAGATGGAAAACATAAAAGATCATTGGGAATTATAACCTCTGTTCCCCTTATCTTACAAGGAGCAAAATTCTCAGTCGATTTACAAATGATCGAGTCAACCCAAGATACCTTATTGCTAGGAATAAACTGGTTCAAAGCATTCGACGCAAAAATATATTTTGACTAAGATAAGCTCAAGGTTAAGATTGATGAACAAACAGTTGAATTTCCTATAAAATGCATCGAAGAAGCCAAACCATTTTTCAGAATCTTGGCTAATACTGCAGAAAGCGAAGAAGAAGAATATGTTGATGAAGCCCTATACGAAACAGATTTTTTTCAAATAAAGAATGATGAGGACTCTTTATCTGACCTAAACGAGAGAAGTGATGAATTAGAACATATTGAATAGCCTTACCAAGAGGAAGAAATTATTGCTCTTTATAGTATGAACACTGAAGAAAAAACGGAGGAACAAAAAATAATTAAAGCACTTATCCCTAAAGAAATTATTTCAACTGGAGGAACTGACATTGGACAAACCCCGTTTATTAATCATCAAATTCCATTAAAGCCAAATACAAGACCTATTGCTCACCCTTCATACCGTTTAAATTAAGAAAGAAAAGATTTTTTGGAAAAGGAAATTGATAAAATGTTAGAGAAAGGAATCATTCAAACTTCAAAAAGTCCATGGGCCTTCCCGATCGTGATTGTATCTAAAAAGATAGGAGATCTTAGAATATGTGTTGATTATCATCCATTAAATTCAGTAAAAATTACAGA